GCAATCCTGAGATCAGGTCATCGCCCACTCGCACGGTTCCCAGATGTGGGAGTGGCCCGATGGGGGTCCTTCTCTAACCCAAGGTCCACGTGAGCTAGTGAACTGATTCCAGAAGGCCAGTGAGTGTAGAAGGAGCCCCACTTCTGGATGGCCCATTTATTATGCCAGACTCGGATGCTTTCAGAGCCCATCCCTGGCTGCCTTTCCCCTTACCTGCCCTCTCTCTCTCTTAGTTTATGTATCTCTTCCATGAGAGAGAAAGAGACACACAGATACAAGGAGAGAAAGAGAGCGTCACCTCCAGCAGATTCTTCGAGCTGGGATCCACCCCCAGGGCCAGCTGGTCCGGATCAGGGACACCTGCACATGCACCCATCATGCTCAGGGAGGTCCCAGGACACGAACCAGGGTCTCTCCCTTGTGAGTCCAGGCATGTCATAGTTGTACCACCAGCTGGCCCCACTTTAAAAAAATATATTTATTCCTTTATTTATTCATTCCATGAATAGAAGTGACAGAAAGGGAAATAGCACCTCTGGTAGGATCTTGACGCCACGATCCACCCCCAGTTCAGCCAGCCCCAAGTCATGGGCCCGCGTGTGCCCAGCATTCAGGGAAGTCTCTGGTCGTGAACCTGGACCCTTCCGTGTTCACTGAGGACCACCTCGCAGGCACAGTGCCATGCACCTGCTAAGTGACTGTCTGGAGCAGTCCTGTTTTCACTTTACGTGTGTGAGAGCCAAAACCGAAACTGAGTTAGAAGGGTTTAGTCAGCATTGTGCAAGAGGAAAACACACAGGCTTTGGAGCCAGCAGATCTGGGTTCAAGTCTTGACTCTACTGCTACTGATCCTAGGAACGTGGACAAGTTACACGATATCACTGATCTTCAGATTTTTATCTAAAAACAGAACTGGTGAACCTAGCATCAGGATTGTTATAAAGAATTAGATTCGATAATCCATATAAAAGTGCTACGTAAAGCTTATCAGGGACTTGGTAAGTGTTCCTTTTCCTTAATCACATACACATTAAAGTTGAAATTAAAGCCAGACATTTTTAAACTTTACCCTAAACTTGGAAACTTCTGGATTTTGTCCTAACCTTAACATTAACCAAATGAACTTTGGGATAGACCATGGACTTGTCTAAATATTTTGCAGAGTTCTTTATAAAACTGAGCATTTACTGGGTAAACATGGCTGTGGGTTTCCAAGAGAAAATTCTGTGAGGGGAGACTGGAAGACTGAAAGAAAATTAAGTCATGTGTCTTTGACTCTGGAAGCCCCCTGGGGTGCTGTGGGTTCAGGGGCTGCCCGCTAGATCAGAGCCCCTCGTTGTACAATTCCCTGGGCGTGCTTGGGTCTTTTCAAACCCTCCTTTATTTGCCATCCAGACAAGAACCATAGGCCCAGAAGCTTGTTTTCAACATCCAGGAAAACACATGGTTTTGCTTATTTTTCTCTCATCTCTCTTGCCAAGCTCTTCACTGAGTTTTCATTGGGTTCTCTAGTTGGCTTTTTTTTTGTTGTTTTTACTTTTAAGACAATTCTTGGAAGAAGGTCACTGGAAAATGAAGGGAAAAGATGGGCATCCCCAACCAGGAAAACTGTCTTCAACTCTAATGAAAAGGTTGAAGAGCCTGAAGGCAGGACGCTGAGAGGACATGAGAGAGCGAGATGGCCCATTGAGCTCGGGACGGGCCTCCTTGGCATCACCCCAGGCCTGTGGCGCCTGGTGTCTCCCTGGAAGGCTGGGATGAGGAGGCACAAGCTGCCTTTGCCTCAGAGGCTCCCAAAGGCCCTGTGTCCAGCAGAGCCCAGTCGCATGGCACAGGGGGGCGGGTTGCTAGAGCACGCGCAGCATCCCAGTGAGGCCCAGCACCATGCAGTCCCTGTGCAGTTCAGCCAGGTCAGACACTGCAGGTATTTGGCTATTTCTGCTTTAACATCACCACAAACTTGGCGGGTCCAAGCAACACATATTCTTTTACGACCGTGTTGGTCAGAGCTTTGACGCTGGTCACACTGGAGTAAAATCCAGGGGCAGGCATGGCTGCGTTCCTTGCTGGAGCCCCTAAGGAACAATTAATTTTTTTATCCTGTTTTCAGCTTCCAGAGGCGGCTCTTGTTTCTCCGCTCCTGGTCCTTTCAGTCGGTCTTCAAAGTCAACCGCGGAGGATTGAGTCTTTCTCACCATGCATCACTCTGCTCTTCTTTTTTGCCTCTTTTCTCCACTTTTAGCGACCCTTCTGGTTACACTGGACTCACCTGGGTAATCGGGTACTCTCCCTAGTCTAAGGTCATCTGAATTCCATCAGAAACCTTTGCCGTGTAAAGTCACACGCTCCCAGGTTCCCGGGCCTGTGGCGTAGACGTCCTTGGGGGAGCATGCCATAGCCTCCTGCAGGTACATGGTCCTTGTTATCACACACGGCAATTGCATCTGTAGATATCCCTTACCCAAAATGCATGGGATAGGCGTGTGTCGGATTTCAGGACAGGTGCAGATCTACATAATGAGATGGGATCCAAGTCTAAATGTAAAACTCACTTACGTTCCTGGTATATCTAGTACAGTAGCCTAAAGGTAGTTTCATACAGTTTTTTTTGGTACTGCAGCATTTCACTGTGAATCGTTACATGAAGTCCTGTGGAATTTCCCAGCTGTGGCATCGCGTCGAATCTCACAATGTTTAGGATTTTACAGCACTTTGGACTTTGGAATTTCATATTAGAGAAGTCCAGGTGTATAGGACTCTTTCAGTTAGAAGAAACAGGGCATAACTCAAACTAATAAAAGAAAAGGGTCATTGACTCGTGTACTTGAAGGGAACTTGGACTGGTTTCAGGCACAGCTGGACCCGTGTGCCCAACAGCAGCATCAGAGCCCTCTCTTTCTTGTCTTGGTTCCTTTGTGGAGACGTGGTTCTTAAGCAGGGCTTTCTGCACAGTGGCTCCCAGCCAGCTCCTGCGTTACGTGAGTCAGGATCCCAGACAGGACACAGGCCCTCTTTTTACGTAGCAGCAGCAAAGTCCCAGGGATGACTGTCATGGGCTGAACGTGGGTCGTGTGTGCTGTTCTGAGGGACGCCATACTTGCTGCACCTAGGGCGGGGATGGAGGCGACCTTCCCAGAAGACATGTGCTGGGTGGGTCGGATGGAGGCTGGTGGCTCTCCAGAGAAACTTCAGATGTCATCAAAAGAAGGGGGAGGATCTGGGGAGGCAAAACCGACAAGTCCCCACTCCACCTGGAGCTGCTGACCTCGGGACTGTGAAACAAGTGTGCTATTCCATTCGGCTCATTTGGCTTCAAGCAATAGAGAGTCAAACTTGAGAGTCCAGAAGAGGCTCTCCCAGGCAAGGAGAGAGTTAATCCAGGCCGTGTGGAAGAAGAGCGATTACGTGGCAGTGAAGTATGGGTTTTGGAACTGAATGGGTTGACATCCAAGCTACTAGGTGGGTTTACTTGACCTCTCTGTGCCCCAGGCTTCTCATCTGTAAGATAGGGGTGACAGTACTAACCACCTCATGAGTTTGTTGTGCGGCTTAAACGTGTAAATACTAGTAAAGTTCTTAGAGGAATAGTATGTCGACACAGAGTAAGCATACAATAAATAATAACCGTAATGATTCATTTTATTATGTTACTGTTGTTACTGAAATAAGCACCCTGGGGGGGCACAGGGCCATGGGAAGTGGTCAGAGACTTTCTTTGTTTCTTTCTTTTTCTCGCTGGACATGGTCTCTTCTGTCTTGAACACCTCAGTGGGAACTGAGGTTCTCACCCGGAACCTGGGCTTCCCCGTGGTTTTCAACTGCCACTCCTCCACCTCTGACCTTGACAATGACCACGCCCACCACCAAAGACAGGCATGCTCGTTTGTGAGTTTAGATTCTTGAGAGAATCTGATTAATCTGACCAATGACGGACGTGAAATGAGAGTGTGCCCATTTGATTAGCTGTAACTGACAAGGGCAGAGTGACCTGGACTCAGGGCTACCTCTTTCAGAGGGCATGGAAGGAGCAAGTTAGCTGAAGGAGGAGATTAGGCTTAGCCGGAAAATTGACTGACACATCACTTACAGGTTCTTTCCAGCAAGCTGGATTGTTCTACAGAACACTGGTTCTAATCGATGTTTGAGACTGGGACGGCCCTGGGAACCACTTACATGAGTGTGATGTAGCTGGTGGTATGTGCAGCAAAAGGAACCTTCCCCCAGTAGTGTAAATGAGAGAGACGTTTTCAGCCCCAATTAGAAATGCGCATTAGGGGGCCAAAGACCCCATTCCTTCCTGCGTAGAGCATGGTCTCCAACACCCACTCCTGGCATGGAAGTCCCTGTGGTGGTGAAAGGCTCACAGTCACAGCTGGGGGCATGGATTCATAGTGACCAGGGCTGCCCCACGTCCTCACTTTGGTGGCAGGAGGTGCCTTTCCTTTCTGTTCACGGGTCCCCTCCTACTTGGCAGAGGCCCCGTATTTTTTCCAGAAAGCTCAGTCCGGGTTATTGGGAACATCCCAATGGATGGATGTTTATGCCTCAGGGCCCTTGTCCTTTTCTCCAAGGACTTTGGGAAGAGCCCTCCTGATGTCGTTCCATAGTGACGGGGAGGGAGAAGGGGTACTGCTGAGATCTCTGAGTCCTGCAGCACTGCGGAGGGCGTGGAAATGCTCTGGGTCGAGGCTGGGTATCTAGGAAGCCCCGAGGTTTGGAGGAAGACAAAGCATTGTCAAGATTTTGACAGAGGCCTGCTGGGAAAGTCTCCACCCTAAAGGCTTCTGTGCCCCTTTCTAGTGGAACAATTCGTAGGCTCCACGCTTGCTTTCAAATGGACTGGTTTGAAGCAGTCAACAAAAAAGCATCCTGCTGCCAGGGCCAACCGTCACATAAAGGAAAGAGAGCAACACAAACCGTGGGGGAATGTGCCAGAGAGGAATGGTGCCGAGTGGAGCCGCCTCTGCCGGCCTGATACCCTGTGCATTGTCTCCCCAAAGGACCCCGTGGTTTAATGGATGGGGCTTTAACCTACCCAGAGGTCAGTCTCTGCTGGACAAGTGGAACCTCATCCCTGAGGGCATCGACATACTCATGACACATGGACCTCCTCTAGGTAAGTGAAGCGAAGGTTGTCCTTTTGTCATACGAGATGCCTTTTTTCTAAGCATAATGAATAATGCTTCGGGGACATAATCATTTTGCTCAAAAAAAAAAAAAAGAATACAAAGAGAAAAGTCAGTGTCTTTAAAGAAACCCAGTATGATAATTAAACTCAGCAGTTCTGCTGGGCTTACAGGTGTTCTTGAAATTAAATTTTTTGATTTAGTTGAGTCAGGGAAAAATCAAATGCGTGGCGCGCCACAGTCTTTTGAGCGTGGTCATTTATTTTAAGAACTGTATTCGCTTTGTGGTACGGGCGGGGGGACGGGAGGGAGTGGAAGGAAGACGCAGCCTCCCAGACTCAGGGCTGTTGAATGGCAATGAGATGATGGAAATTAGGGTTCAAAGGAGCTCATTTTCCTTTTCCAAATATGCTGGAACCTGGATGATCTCTCAAGTTTAGCATTTGAGCTGATTATATGAGAAAAGGATCATCCTTGTAAAAATTTTTTCCTTATGTTAAGATATTTCAGCAAGGACTTACGTTGAACGTTACATAAGGATACGCATCCTACAGGCACACTGAGCCCACACTCAGGCTTCCGTTCCCTGTGCTTCCAACTACCCCCAGTGGCCCTCATTATGGGTCAGATGACCATGATTTGACTTCCTATCTTCTAACTATTCGTGAGCTCTGCATCATTCGGCTTAGCAGAGACCGTTTCCCACCCTGATCCCCTCATCCCCTCATCTCTCAGCACCCATTATGCCAGGGCCCCTCCTGTCCAGTTTAGGTGAGCGCAAGACATTCTGATGATTCGCTTTGAATAGAAGTCTCCCTTCCTCCTTCCTTCCCTCCTTCCTTCCTTCCTTCCCTCTTCCCCTCACTCCCCTCCCCCCCCCCCCGTCTCTTTTTTATTTCCTATAGGGTGCACACACTGGCTGGAAAGAGATAGAGAGAGGGAGAGAGAAAGGGAACATGAGAAAGAACCCCCGGGGGGATGAGCACACCACAATCCCTTCTCCATTCTTCTCTCAGGACTTTGAGCACACATGAACATGTTCCCAGTGTGTTTTGGAAGCCGTTGGGTCCAGGGCTTGAACCATGTAGTTGGCCAAGTTGGGTCTAGCCCTTTTAACCACCACACCACTGGCTTTCTTCCTTCCTTTCTGCCTTTCTTCTCTTCCTTTCTTATTTTGTAAGAGATACATATCCTGAAATCTATCTCCTTAACAAGTTTTGGAATATACAACCCTAAAAGAGTTTTCTTGATCACCCAGGTTTAATGAGAGGGGAAAACACCAAACAAACATAAATGATTTTCACTTTTTTTTGTGCTTTGGGATTGTTATCCGTGTCTCTTCCCTCTTCTGTCATCCTGGAAAATGAACAATCTAATGCTCATCCCCAAATGTGAATTTAATCTTAGATATTTTCTCCTCAAAGCCACTTTGTGCTGTGTCCCTTCCTTACAAGAGAAGTGTTCCACGTTTCACAAACAGTGAAGGGAGGCAAAGGCATAAGCCATGGTGGCACATTTTAATGACAGAGAAGGCAAGAGAAGAGTCTAGTTCTGTTGCAGACATGGAAATTGTCTTCGTTTGCAAAAATCAGCCGTTTCTGACTTTTTTCAACATTTCTGAATGGACCATGCATACTTTCCTGCCCCATATTACCCATCCCATGTTCTGAAGATTATACTTTCCTGCAACCTTCATCAAGTCATAATTAATCTCCCAATTTTACAGCCATTTGGCTAGCTACATTGTTAAATTGCTAGCCAAATGTTCCCATCAGCATGAGTGACCCAGCGAGGGCACCCTGTAGAGACACCATTGTGGCCAGCTTGCCGCTTTGGCCTGAGCAGCCTAGGTGGGCGCAGGCGTGATTTCTGTTACTGTCAGGGAGGCGGACACCTGCATAAACTGTTTCCATGACCAAAGAATCACTTTGGAATATAACTTTGAACAGGAGAGTCAATTCATAGACGTTATCAAGTCATTTGTTTTGGTATAAATGCGCATGGTAGTAAAAGTCTGAATTCTAGACTCCACAGAAGACTTCCCTGACAAGGCAGGCTAGCGTCCCTCTGTAGCAAAGGCAGACTCAGCCAGAGGGCGGCTGGGGGTGCAGCAGAGGGCGGAGGGGGATCTACGTCAGAGTTCTAAGCTACAGTGTCAGGCAGAGTGTTCACAAGGTACAGCTGAGCCTTTAGCAAGACAGTTACTAGGGTTCTTCTGAACAGCCTATCCCGGGACAGGGCCTGCTGGTGAGGGAATCCGCAGTGCTGTGGGACTCGTATCGTAAGGGTCTGAGCAAGACGCTGTCTCCAGTGCTTGTCTATGAAATGCGCTATTCTCCCCCTTCAGTAAAAGCACTGCCGTAGAGTAATATGCGCATCACTGTGGTTTAAGAATTGTTTCCCCTAAAAAAGTTTTTAAATTATGGTTTGATTTTTGCTCAAGCCCCCACTTTCATCTGATGTTCTTCCCGGATGCACTGATCACTTCCCACACCCCAGCTAACTAAATGTTCGTGCCTGCGGTTTGTCCCGTTCTGCCCGTCATTTCTGAGCAGTGGAGTAGCCTAGTGGTGTTGGGGGGGGGGGGGGGGGGGCGGTCCCACAGATTGTGCCTGGCCTTTTGTCCACCTGCCTTTGTTCTGCCCCATCCTGCTGAGCTGGATTCCGCCGGGGCGTCACCATCTAGGTAGCTGACTTTTGTTATAATTGATGTCAGTTTTTATGGATTTTCTGCATTAAGTGTAGAACTAAGTGGCTTTTACTTTAAACGGAGTCCATTAGCCCCCGCTTTCTGGATGCCACCGTGAGGTCACGTTGTTGCCGATTGCGAGAAAGGAGACAGGAGGTGAGCATGGTCTTCCAAAGACTTGGTCATCAGGAACCATGAAGGGTTAAAAGTTGATGGATCTAGGGAGCAAGGTGTCATGTGACCCACTTGTGGGTGGGGGGCTTCCCAGTCTTTTTCCTGTGAACCATCTTGGAAGTAATCTGCTCTAACAAAGATGGAATTAAAAAAAAGAAAAAGAAAGAAAGAAAGTAACTGAATTGAGGGCCAAAGAAAGATGATGGGACTGCCGGGAATAAATGTCACTGGGCCCATGAAGAAGATTTGAAACTTACAGTAAAATAAATCAAATCCCTTACAGAGGAGGGAAAAAAAAGTGAATGTTAATTAACAGGATGAAAAAAAAAAATGGAAACCAAAAAAAAAAAAAAAGAAATCAAGAATCTAAGGAAGACAAAGTGACGAGCAAAAAGTTTCTTAAAAGCCATTGTGAGCTTTAATGGAGAGGCTAGGATTACAGATAATGTAATAAACCTTCTGTGAGTTATGGCTTCCTGAAAGTCGAAATGAAACCGTACCTGAAGAAGGAAAATTGAGAGTATTGATTGCATTTCACCCTTAGGTTTCCGAGACTGGGTTCCAAAGGAGCTGCAGAGAGTGGGCTGCGTGGAGCTTTTGAACACCGTCCAGAGGCGAGTCCGGCCCAAGCTCCACGTGTTTGGTGGAATCCATGAAGGTAAGAGCGGAAGAGGGTTCTTGTTACCCGAGATGGAAGGCAGAAGATCTTAGCTAACTGGTAGTACCTGAGCGGTGGTTTCCAAATGTTTCAGCAGCGGAACCTTTTATAAGATGGGGCCTGGCGAGGAACATCTGCACACAAGTTGGTAACACTTCATATGGAACTGCTTTCTTTAAGCGGAGTGGACAGTGGGAACCCTCTCTGGCCACCTTACCAGTACACCTTAGGCTGCTCCTGGGGCCCTGGGTTTCTACTGAGAACTGTTTGATACCCACTACGGAAGAGCAGCCCTGAGCCACATAAGGACACATTTTCTCTCTAAGAGGCTTAGAAGAAATGGCCTGGATAGTAGTTGCTATTTAAAGCTTCTGTCATCCTTCCCGCCTATAAATACTGTGTTTTATATGGAATACCCACAAAGACCCAGGGCAGGCCAGGAGCTCTCTGACAACTAGCTTTGGCCCTGCACTGAAAGCTGTATCACAGAAGTGCCAGGAACCTGCGTGTTTGCAGGTAGACGTTGCCTTACGAGCCTCAGAGAACGCTTTCAGAACTTCCTGGGAATCATCAGGGCGACTGGCTCAGGCTGAGGCTGAGCAGAATATTCAATCTCCCTGAAAGGGGAACCCGTCAGGTAGTCGTTCTCTGCCTTCCAGGGTAAACTGAGTCAAGTTCACAGAACCAGAAAGCCTCACTGGGACCCTCGGAGCTCTGGGTTGGTCTGTCCTGCCTTTTGCAAACCAGAGGTAACTGGGCTTCTGGATAGACACAAAGCCCTCTTTCAGTTGGGCCTAGGTTTTCTGACCCTCCTGGGTCCTTCCAGATCCACACGCTTGCAGGCAGTGGGTGCATTCAGGCAGCCACACGGTTCTTCCACTCCGGCTTACAGCCGCTCTGTGGGGTTATTTATTAATCTGCAGTCAAGTTCAGGTGTTTAGGGCTTTGTGCCTGACGAAGCAAAACACAGAGTTTGCCTTTCAAAGCCCGCAAATCCAGTGGCTTCCTGGTTGGGCAGGTAATAAAGAGCATATTGAAAATCATCCTACTGAGGCCAGAGAAAATACAGCTCACTTCAAGTGCAGACACCAGCTGAGTGGATGGAAAATGGGGGTGCAGCTCCCAGAGAGCAGAGGTCAGTCTACTCTGACGATGGCCTGTGCTCCCTGGCAGAAGGGCACTCTCTAAGGTAGAATACGGGGGGGGG